AAAAGTATAATTCAGTTTAAAATATACATATATACATGCCACTTCAATATTTTATCTTGTCTAATATTGTCTCCTTCCACAAGCACTTATTGAGTCCTGACTATAAACCAAGCACTGCTTCTTTATTTTGCAATTGCCACAAGGTGGATTACATAACACACGGTAGATTCCTGATCCAATGAACAATTAGGTCGAGCAAAATAATCTTATAAATAGTAGAACAGTATCTTTATGTTGCTTCTCAAATTGCCAAATTGTTAGGGGGCAATTTTACTAGTTTTCAAACTGACTAGTCTTTATAACTAAAAAAAAAAAACCAAGAAGAGGGAAGTTGTTCTTATTCAGTTTATACAAAGGTAATACAGATGAAATGATTGAAATTTTTTCTTTGTAATTGAAGTTTCTTTCCCCTCTATGATTTTTTTCCCAGTGGTTAGATATTGTTCAACTAAATAATAGCTATAACATAAGAGTATAAAAAATAATTATATTTAAGAAAATTATTAATACATTCTATCTAAGGAAATTATTGATACAGTTTGGTCATTTCTGTATGCCTTGTACCTAGAAGAGTATCTGAGAGGTAGTAATCCCTGAATAAGTATTTGCAGTTGAATAAAAGACACACTAATGTTTTGACTATATGAAAGGAAAAAAATGACATCAAATTAAGACTGAAGTAAGTTCAGAAGAATTGCTTTTGGTTAGTTTTCTTCATATTTATTTTTTTGAATTAATTGGATCTTCATATTTCTTAGTCAAAAATCAATGAATGACATACTTGTGTTTTGGCTCCTGGTGTCATTGGAGTTGCAAAATTGTTTAGATCCCAAATATAGATTTCAGATTCATTAGCGCCAGACGCTACAAGATTGGTCTGCAATAAAACAGTATTGATGAATACTTAAGTGAAGACAGAATAACACAACTAAGCACTAGACAGATCTGTTATAGCTTTAGCTCATACAACTATATTCCATTTAATAAAAAAAGCAAACTACTTAAGAATGAAATCTCAAAAAAGAAAAAATGAAATCTCACTCTTAATTAACCATTTTTATAATTCTCAAATGAAAATTAAAGTTTATTTTTTAAAGAGAAATGTGTTACAACAGACACTAACAGCAATTATATAGATACATTCTTACAAAGCAAAATAATATTATGTAAGATTATCATTTGTGTCTCTGCATATGATTGTGGGTGACAACAAAAAGTCATCAAGATAAATAACCAGATCCTAAAATAAAAATGACCTTTTTTCTTTTTTTTCCCCAGGAAACCTCAGAAGTCTGCTTTTGGAACCCAACAGGACAGGGGTAGTAAAACCTCATCTTCAATCTCCATGTATTCCTAGTTTATTTACTTGTTCCACATGGCAATATTTATAACGGTGGTCCTCAACCTCCCGAATGCCGCGACCCTTTAATACAGTTCCTCATGTTGTGGTGAACCCATAAAATTATTTTCGTTGCTACTTCATAACTGTAATTTTGCTGTTATGAATCGGGCGACCCCTGTGAAGGGTTGTTTGACCCTCCAAAGGGGTCGCAACCCACAGGTTGAGAACTGGTGATTTATAAGGTATCTCAGTTGTACACTCAAAAAGACCCTGAATTATAATAATGGAATACAGCAACAACAAAAAAAATTACTCAGAGATTAACCACTATCCTTTACTGTCATGCATATTCTTTTCTAATCAACTGGCACATAAGAAAAGAAAGGGAAAAAAAGAAAAAGAAATTTTAAAAGAAAGGAATTCTTAGTAGTTGTGACAGATAGTGCAAGACAATTTTACCAAAACAGCTAATGAATCTAATTAACCAAACAAAAAACAACCTACCATATAGCATAAAGAGAAAATACCACAAACTGTATATATTAAGTTTGAACATCCATATGCATCCATAATATAAGAAACATAACTAAAAATTTCTTACTAGAATACTCATTTATGGTTTTTATAGATTAACTCAAAACCTTCACCAACTTGTGATGTAATGAGCATTTAGTTATATTTATAACTGAGAATTACAGAATCTTAACCATTTGTAAAATGTGTTGTTTTTGTTAAGTATGCTTTATTTATTTGACAGAGTAGTCACTTTGTCACAATGACTTTCTTGACTGGTAAAACAGAGATTTAATACAAATACCACAGCACCAGCTAGATCAAGGTATATTCTGAAAGTCAAGCAGCCTTTCTAATCTATGGGATAATACTGAGACAAAAGAACAAAAAGAAAAAACTCCAATCCACTGACAGGGAAACCTCTACTTTTCATAATTAAACTTATTTAATTATGGGCTGGTATTACTTTGAACTCATTCTTCAGACATATACCACTCACTCCATCAACCTACACAGGAAACATTTTTGGTTTCCAACTCCAGGATTGAAGCACAGTAAATGCATGTACTTACTTCAGTATTGAGCTCTACATATTTTTATAATTATTAATAATGTCAACCACTAACCTGGAAAATGTTCACATCCAAGGCTCTCACTGGGCCAGTATGTTTGTCATTCTGGGCAATCATAACTTCCTTGTCTCCAGCAATAATTTTAGAGGGATCATAGAGAATAATATTTCCGTTTTCACCACCTGCAATCAGAACTCCAGAGACATTTCCTTTTGAATCCATCTTATGAGGCCCCCAAATCAATTTGTGGTACCTTTAAGATAAAATGAATATAGGTAACTCATTCTTAAAGAGATAGAAAACAATTTGAAATTATTTCTTATCATTTAGATTTTTATAAATATTCCAAAAACAGTGCTGGCCTTCACCTCCTAATACTTGTATAACTTTGATGATATGGTATTTTAATATTTATGTATAATCATATCAGCACATTTGATCTTATATTCCTCGGCTCATCCTTACAGAATAAAATTTCCTGCAGAAGTAATGTAAAATGACAAAGTATACTTGATTTGTCTATCAAGAAAACAAGGGTTTTCTATTCAGTATTTGCTCTCATGAAGAGATCACTGAAGATATATGAGTGCTATCACAAAGTATGGGGGAAAAGAACCTAGACAGCTACAACTCTCTTTTTTAATCATTTTATTGGGGGCTCATACAACTCTCATCACAATCCATACATACACAATCCATTGCGTAAAGCACATTTCTACATTCACTGCCCTCATCATTCTCAAAGCATGTGCTTTCCACTTAAGACCTTGGCATTAGCTCCTCATTTTTTAAAGGCAATTTAACCATGGAAGTGTATAATATGTAAATATCGTACCAAGAAAACTACTTTAAAAAAAGAAAACCCAAAAAGAAAAAAGAAAAAGAAAACCCAACTTGACCAATGGTTACCATGGGTGAAGGAGACGTTGTTGTTGCTTACGAGGCAGAGTTTATGTTAATGTTATGTTTATGTTAATGGTAGTGGAATAATTAGGAAAAGGATCAATAATGGTTGTACACCATAAAGAGTTTAATCAATGCACAGAATTATACATGTAGAAGTTGTAGAACTGGAGAATGTTTTGTGTATATTTTTGCCACAATTACAAAAAATTAATAATTACATGAATGACAATGAGTATAAGAAAGAATATGTTCTAGAACTAATTGGGTGATAATTTTTTAAATCTTAATATGACTGAATTATTGAACTGTGTGCCATGTGGATAAAGTGCTGATAAAACTATTAAAAA